CCGCCGCTTCCGCCGCCGCCAACTCCGGCCCCACCGCCAGCGCCTCCCTTACCGTGACCATGGACGCCTTCGTCCCTGGCCGGAACAATATCCCCAGAAACGACGACGATGAACATAATCCAGAGAACTCCGCGCACGTGCTCGAATACGTTGTTGGGTCCTCCACGCACGTGGGGTCGTGCAGCGGAGCGGCCGCACACGGCGGCCGGTCTGCACTTGCGGCGGCATGCGGCTGCAAGGTTGTTGGCGCGACGACGGCCGCGAGCGAGAGCGCCACGTTCGGAGGGAGAGACGACAGCTTCCAGTTGACGCTTGATACTTGCGGCGGGTTGACGTCAACTTCCATGTGGTCGCCGGAAAACACCAGCTCCGGCAAAGAATATTCCAGGACCTCCGCCGATGACCATGATTATTCCGGCTGTCGCAGTAGATCACAGGCATGTTATACATCGCTACACATATATTCAAATTTGGGTAAATTACATTTACACCCCTAAAGTATGCTGAAATAACTTTAAAGTCCCTGTGGTATTGATAATTACAATCACCCCTGAAACATTTCTTAAATAACACCTAGCTCGATTGTATCTCCACCACTTCCTGAAACTAATATTACGTTACAAATCTATCGGAATGACGTGTCTAATGCATTATCCCTGTTACAATTTCTAACGGTATTTCTGGGGTGATTGTAATTATCAATACCGTAGGGATATTAAAATTATTTTAGCCCATCTCAGAAGTGTAAATGTAATTTACCTTTAATTTTTACGTATGTATACGGAGTATATATTATAAAAATAATTGAAAATAAAAATAAATAAATAATTGTCTCTGGTATGCAGAGTGAAGCAGATGATTGTGGGAAAAGAAAATTAGGGCATGGAAAATCCTCAGTTACAATCAAGAAAACGAGGGCAGCTGCTATTCATAACCAATCTGAAAGAGTAGGTTTTCTCTTTCAATTTATCTCTAATTACATATATATAGATTGATAAATATCTATTTTAATGTGCACAGTGAGCTTACGAGATCTTACATATGGTGAAATACAATATGTGATTTAAAAATTGTGGATTTTCATAAATAACTCCGTACCTACTAATAACGCATACACATGAGCGTGTGTGTTATTACGTATAGATCAATCGTGTAAAACTACATGATGTATTTCACCAGATGTAGGTTACACAACTCATATACGTGTATGTATTTGTAATTGGTATATAAAAATATATGACGTAATATATATATATATATATATATATATATATATATATATATATATATATATATATATATATATATATATATATATATATATATATATATTATTTTTCTTGATACAAATGTTTAGCTAAAAATGTTGAATTTTGAGGTATATATAGTAAAACTAAATAAATGTATTCTCATGTATTGTCCCAGAAAAGAAGAGACAAGATTAATCAAAGGATGAAGACGTTGCAGAAGTTGGTCCCAAATTCCAGCAAGGTAACAGAAATTTTGTATAATAACAGAAATTTTGTATAATAAACACCCCTCTCAACGTAGGTTAAATTACAAAAAAAACGCCCCCCATCCATTCGTAA